TTAAAAAAAATACAATGAGGTTTATTATAGTACTACTTCCTCTGTCTCATTTTACCTGTCTTACTTTTCTTTTTAGTTTGTTTCAAAATATGGGTGCCTCATACCATATTCAGACTAATTCCCGTTTCCATACAAGAGGGAATTCGAACTCCCGACTTTTCTTAAAGGACGAGATTGAGTTCACGACTACTCACGCTAACCAAGCTGGTTAATGAATGCATAATATATAAGAAAATACATACGGAGTAACATTTACTCTAGTTTTTTAAAATACGTGCAAAAGGTAAATGTGATCATCAATTCGGGATGGAGGGAGTATTTCAATTACCTGCATGAGCTAGAACTTTGAGGAGATTAATTTGTTTGTAGACTCTGAGAGCAGCTGCAAAGTAATCATGTTGATTGAATACTGTTTCAGCACAAGTACCGTACTCCTCCCATTCTTCCTTCCACAACTGCATGCTATCTCTACTGGGACAACTCAATGAGGGCCAATACTTTTGCAAACTCGGCACTAAATCTGCAATCTACATACCAAAAAAAGTGGGGATAAGTTGTAATTTAAAATTATTAAATTTTTAGAAATTAATCTTTCTTAAGGGCATTCATAATACTAGATTTTGAAAAGTTTTTGCATGTTTTAAATCTTAAATGGAGAAAAGAAAAATAGGGGAGAGAGTGTTGTATGTACGTTATTGCAAGAGATCCTTGATTTTTACAGAAAAAGTGAAGCCCATTAGAAAAGAAAAGAAATTTCTTGGAGTGCGTGATGTGCAACCGGCGCGCCCAGCCGGGCGCATGAGCTCCACGTGTTACAGGAAAAGTGGAGCCTACTAAAAAAGAAAAGAAGTTCCTTGGAGTGCGTGATGCGCAACAGGCGCGCCCAGCGGCCGAGCGCATGAGCTCCACGCGCCTAGCGCGCGTGTTAATCCCACACTTTTTTTTTCAATTTTTTTTTTTCCCCTTTCCTCCAATTTTTTCTTTTCTAATCATGCATGTAAAAATTTCTCAAAAACTATGCCTATTGAGGATGCTCTAATTCATTTAACACTCAGAAGGTAAAAAAGAAACAATAATTAAAAAAAAAAAAAGAAGAGAGAGAGAAAATCATTGAAACATCCATTATATTATACCTTTGACGGTTGGAATTTGGTTCCCGTTGTGCAATTTGCTAATATCCCTCCATTACTAAAGTAAAGTGCTTGAAATTCATGAATGACAAAGTCATTCAAAGAAGGGCTTCCTTCCTTTGGGAGGCAACTGCCTTCCTTGCTCTGACACTGTGTCTTTGGCCACTACAAACATTTACACACACACACAAAAAAAAAAAGAATAAAATTTATATAAAAAATTACACTATCACTCTTTCATCAAAATATTACTTGAAAATAGTGGGTAAAATTAAGATAAACGAAGCATACTTTGAGACTGATGAAAAAGTAATTAGGTTTGATATCAGCGGTAAAGGCTATAGTAGAAAGGGATGCTAAAGAGAGTGTAGTTAGAAGACGAAAACAGTGGAAAAGCTTCATGCTTCTTAGCTGCTATGGTAACTAGGTGCATTTGTAAGCTTGGTTGAGTCCATATATATTTATAGTTGTATTCACAATATAATGACAGCTCAAAATTAAAGCAAGTTGTTTTTTTGTTTTTATATTTTTAATATTGATGTTGGGTCAATTGAACAGCATGCATTATTTGACTTTTTGTGTCTTTTAGTAGTTTTGCCATGGATGGCAGTATGACAGCCAAGCCTCGCATGCCTATTTGAGTACCGTGTAAGTGTGTAACCGAGAAAATTAAAGATAGCGGCCTACAATCACTAGCAGAGATTTAACAATTCAAATTAGATTATTCTTAAATTGTCATATTTTTTTTTCTCCTTTTCTTTTCCAATTTTTCTCTCTCTGGATTCCTAAAATTAAAACATTTACATGATTGCATTTTTTGGGATTTTTACAGAGAAAAAAACCAAAGAAGGATTTCTAACAAATGGGAAGATGGATTTTTGGAGAATTTTTTTCTTGTAAATTTTGTTTTTTGTAGGGTCGACTTGTTGACCAAAGTGACGCGCGTGGAGTGCGTTTAGCAGAACTCTATATGATCTGCGCCCAATATGTCGTGTGCACTGTGTAAGGATTATGAACTGTATTTCGTTGATGTAAAATAACAAGCTATAAATAGTATACAAGTGAAAGAGAATAGTAGGAAGTTGTAACAACTGTTCAAACACTACAAGAAAAATGCACATAGACAACACTAGAAAGACAACAGTTTTTAACAAAAGCGTTGTCTTTTGTATAAAAGACAACAGTTTGGTCCAAAACCGTTGTCTTTGATGCAACACTTTTGTCAAAGACAACGGTTTTTACTTAACCGTTGTTGTAAGTGTGTTGTCTTTGTGCATTTTGTGAAAAGACAACACCACAACGACAACGGTTTTTTAAAACCGTTGTCTATGTGCGTTTTTTTTTTTTAAAAGACAACGGTTTTTTAACCGTTGTCGTTGGTGTGTTGTCTTTAAGCGCACTGGAATACACAACACTAGAAAGACAACGGTTGTTTAAAACCGTTGTCTTTGTGCGTTCTTTTTTTTTTTTTTTAAAGACAACAGTTTTATTTAACCGTTGTCGTTGGTGTGTTGTTTTTAAGCGCACTCGAATACACAACACTACAAAGACAACGGTTTTTAAAAACTGTTGTGTTTGCATACTCTTTTTTATTTAAAGGACAACGGTTTTTTTACCGTTGTCGTTGGTGTGTTGTCTTTAAGCGCACTAGAATACACAACACTACAAATACAACGGTTTTTTAAAACCATTGTCTTTGCGCATTATTTTTTTTAAAAGACAACGGTTTTGTTTAACCGTTGTCATTTATGTGTTGTCTTTAAAACACAAAACTACAACGACAACGGTTTTATATAACTGTTATCGTTGCGCGTTCTTTATTTGTTTAAGACAACGGTTTTATTTAACCGTTGTCTTTGGTATGTTGTCTTTAAGCGTATTTGAATACACAACACTACAAAGAAAACGGTTTTTTTATAACTGTTGACTTTGCGCATCATTATTTTATAAAAGATAACAGTTGTATAAAATATAAACAACAATGTTAACAACAAGAATTGAACTTACGACCTTAAACATAGCAAATAAGGTCTAACCAACTAAGCAACACAACCTCTTATTTATAAAAATGCAACATCTGGTATATAACTGAGTTTATAAAATAGGTTAAGGATGCCCATATGAAGAATATAACCTAAGACCTCTAACATAAAAAACTAAGCTAAACCCACAAAGCCACACCAACACTTATGTACTTAAGCACAACATCTAGGATATAACCAATTTGCTTATTTGTTCTCTCTGAGAACCAAGACAATGATTGTATAAAATAAGTTAAAGATGCCACTAGAAAGTATAGAACCCAAAACCTCTAACATAACAAACAAAGCTAAACACACCAAACCACACCAACCCTTGTTTACTAAAGTGTTACACCTTATCATTTACCTATAATTTTGGGCTGGCAGCTTTGATCTCCGGACTCTTTAACAAAGAAATAATACAATTCAAAAGTTAATTTAATAGTTCTATTTTCATTCATATTTAAATATAAAACTATTCACCAAAATTTCAATTTCAATTCATTAAAGTTTTATTTTCATTTACAATTAAGACCAATCTATGAATTCAAAAAAAAAAAAACAAATAATAATTATCAAGTATAAAAATAAAATAATAGAATATATCTATAATATTTTTTTTAAAAAAATTGGGGCCCTGTGCGGTCGCGCCGGTCCGACATGGCCTAGAACGGCCCCGGCGGTGCGGTGTGGTGTTTTGAATGGTGCGGTATGGTGTTATACCTCAGGCTTTATATGTACTATTTTAGACCTAGCACCCTGGGTAATAAAGCTACTATTTCGTACCCATGTTCAATTCTATAACTATATGTCCGGTACTATTTTGGGCCTAGCGCACCCCTCATTCTGTACCTATATATCCGGTACTATTTTGGGCCTAGTGCCCGGATAATAAAGCTACTATTTTCTAACCTCCCCGCTATATACCCGATTTATGGTGGACTCGATCTCTATAAAACCATGAATATACTTATTTAATTTGCTATTATAACTATATATATATATATATATATATATATATATATATATATATATATATATATATATATATATATATATATATATATATATATATATATATATATATATATATATATATATATATATATATATATATATATATCATTTGAGTTTTAAATGACCGTCAATGGTCTTCCATGTTCTAAAAAATAACTATCAGCGGTCCTTTTAAAATGTCTCGTGGTCATTTTAAACTTGGGTTTTTTTTTTAAAGAATTAGGACCACGGGTGGTTATTTTTTAACTGTTGTTTTTTTAAAATGACCACGAGACATTTTAAAAGGACCGCTGATAGTTATTTTTTAGAACATGGAAGACCATTGACGGTCATTTAAAACTCAAATGATATATATATATATATATATATATATATATATACATACATACTTGCATTCAAATGAGGACAAGTACATTATAGAGGACTGTGAGGACAGATGTAGTGTGTGCCATTAGACTGTATGTCTTGTGCATGGCTGAATGTAGTCGTGTGCCGCAGTTTGTATGTCGTGTGCATACATTTGTTAATTAATAGAGTATTAAATTGTGTGCCTAATATTAATTTATATATATATATATATATATATATATATATATATATATATATATATATATATATATATATATAATTTTATTTTTTAATTTTATATGATATACTACATTGATTAAATAAAACTGAAATATAATTTATTATATAACATCATTTTATTATTAGAATTGATCTTATAACTTCAATTATAAAAATTAAAAAAATCCCTCCAAACCTAAATCCAAAACCCTCCAATTTTTTTTTTTCATACACTTAAATATTTTACAAATTCCCTCCAAACCTAAACCCTGTACACTTAGAATATTTTACAATTTTCCCCCAAACCTAAATCCAAACCCTTGTTTTCATCGATCACCACTGCACCTCCATCGCCATCATCCGTCGTTGCTGTCAGCCGCATATGATTCAGGCACCGGCACGGAGACGCTCTGAGACGGAGACGGAGACAGAGACGCCACCAACCACGAAGTAGCAGAAAGATTTATAGGCACATCAGCTTATCCGAATTCTAGATCAATCCTATCGATTTTGGTACTTTAACGCTGAATTTGATTATTCCAGCTTCAGTTATGCGATTTTTGCATTTTCCTTGTATTTTTGGGGTTAATTTTAGCAATGCGATTTTTCTGCCTGGTATGTGTTATTGAGAAATGGTGTTGTTCAATGTGAGACTTTATGTCTCACAGCTTTTAGGTAAATTTCCCATATATATATTTTTAAAATCCGTCAAGATCTGTCTCATGACTTCATTGCTATAGGTTTTATGTGAGGAATCATTCCAATTTGTGTTTGCATTATCAACATCAAAGAACAGAGCAAACACAGGAAATTGGCATTTACATTTCATTTATAGAGAACACAAAGTTCATTTGTAATGAGAAATTAAAACACAATTGTTTGAGAACAAGGAGTACTTTGACATCTATATTTGTTCAGAACAATTTTTTAGAGAAACAGTTTGGCCTACACCATTAATAAATACTTAATATTTCTGTTTAGTGAAGTATTATCTTAACCATAAACTATGGAGATCTTGGATTAAACAAGCTTTATTTGGGTTCACACACTAATTAATTCCTTAGATGTCTTTTGTGTATAAGAAACAAAAATTGGGCAGATATAAACAGTGTCTTTTTTTGCCCCAGATTTTTTGTGGTAGACTTCTCACTTTACCTATTTGCTATGGCAGATGTTCGATCTTGTACTATGGATATTGCATCTTTACTGTTGCTGCAGGTACATGACTTTATATTTGGGTTTTTAATTTTAATTAATTAATTTTTCAGAACAAATGCAACCACGCATTTATCAATATGACTGATCCTTCATTCATTGTTCCATTTTATCATGTAAGCTTCCCTCTTTCCCTCAGTAAATAATTGATACTGTATTAGTATTTCTCTATGTATCATGTTGCTATGTCTATGTTTAATAGAGAGTTGATCTGACAGGCTTTTAATGGCAAGAAATGGGAAAAGTTCAACAGTGAAAAGGTGGCATCACTTGCATATGTTCGCATCCAGGGAAAAGCTGCCCTTATTGCTCACTTCCAGAATTCTAGCTTGATGAATGAAGATAAGATGTAGTATGCTGAATTGTAGTATGCTATTGGGCTTCATGGCTTACTACTCTATAACCCCATATCAAAAAATATGTAAGCCAATCACAATTGCATTACTATCATACTATGTCTAAATCTGTGTAGTTCATAATGTATTTAAAAATTACTTTTCCTTTGCTTTAAAAATCCATAATTTTGTCTCCAAATTTTGAAAGCTTATAATACTTCACCTCTTTTTAGTTTATTGTATACTGAGAGTATATGTATGTTTGTGAAGCAACGAACCTTGCTGCGTGCATTGCCTTAGATCACTTTACTGGCTCCAAGCTAACTGTCCCCCACCAACAGATGAAAGTAAAATAACAAAGTAAATGAAAGAAAAATAACAAAGTAATTTTGCCTTGAGTGGAGGTCTGCTACTGACTTTGGGTTGATCTTTTGTTGGAAATGATGCCTGAGATATGGAAATAAAGCCCCATGGAGCTGAGGTCTGAACAGAACCGGTGAAGTGGTGAGCAGAGATGAAATCTGAGTTAATTGAGGGAAGCTGATCTAGGATTGGCTCCAATGGAGGAATAAGGAGGTCCACTAAAGTTTGGTGGACTCTTTGGCCTGTCTGGGGTTTTATGGTTGGAAGGGAGATATTTTGGAGGGGTGTTGGAGGTATAAAGAGGGTGGAAACTGAGATGATAAAGCCCTTGGAAGGCAACTGTGCAGGTCTGATCTGCTGAATTGCAGCTGGTTTGAGCTGTTGAAATAAAATTTCCTGGTAGTAGCTGCAATCCAAAGCTCTATGGAGTGGAGGATGTGGTTGCCATGAAGTTGCTTTGATGATAGCACCTTTATAAGCATCAACAAGTTCTCTCATTCTCAATGTTCACTTCTTTCTGTATATGTCTGTGACTTATACTCTAGAAATCTAGATTGATATTTCACATTATATCTCTATTTTGCCTCTTATGTGTGGATTAGCACTTATTATATTCTTTTGCATTTCACAGATAAAACAGAGCTACAATGTGTTCCTAGTAGCTTTGACTCTGTGGAAGAGTATGTTTTTGCATAGGCTGCTTGTGGACTGAACATTAAATTACCGAAGGAAAAGATTGAAGATATTGATGCCGGAGATGTGTACAATGAGTTGGCAGTTGTGGGGTATGCAGAAAACATTTAAAAGTTCTACAAGGAAGCTGAGGTAAACCACCTTCTGTCATTTATACTCTTTGATTAATGAATTTTAGCTTCTTGCATATATATATATATATATATATATATATATATATATATATATATATATATATATATATATATATATATATATATATATATATATATATATATATATATATTATTTTTTTAATAAAATAAAAGACTTTTCGAGACACCTACAATGGAGCAGGTGTCTTAGATAATATTTAATAATAAAATATATATACCTCTATGTATACCTCTATATATGAAACTACCTTTAGATTCGTATTGTTTACTAGGAAACAATAAGAGGAGGTTCTGTTGTAAATTAGGTAGCTATATATAAATGCCTTTCTATTCATGTGTTCCTATATATACAAATTAAAGTGTGCTTAATCTTTGTGGTTTGGTGTTAAGTGCCAAAATCCTGCCTGCCAAAATCCTTATATACAAATTAAAGTGTGCTTGTGGTTTGGTATTGATATTCTTGGTTGCAGTGGCATTATATAGAGGATGCAATGTGTTTTGTTTTGCTTGGGCCTTGAGGAAGAGAAAACTAGAAAGTAGGCAAAGCATGACTGGTAGATTGATAAATGCCATCCATCCCACATGGTAGTTGCTAATTGGGAGCATTTGTATTCATATTAGGAAAGTATTGCCAATGCATTGATTTTACTCTACTTGAATAGACTCTAGTATGCCATTTTAGTGTTTCCTGTCTAGCAAGTTGCCATTTTAGTGTTTCCTGTCTAGCTTTTCTGTACTATAACCTTCCAGATTGGAGAGCTTTCTGAATTATTCCTAACTTATTTTGCATTTCATTGCAAATTATTTATATCTATACTAATTTATTTTCTTACTTTTTACATGTAGTTTCAACAAGTTGATTATGACAAAGCGGTTATTCATCTGGTGCGTTCTGAATGGGCCGATATTCTATCAAGTCATATAGAGTAGGTATGATTTGGACATTAGAACGTTGTGATCATTTGGACTTGAATTGGTTCGTGGAATTGTTTTTTGTGTAGTAGTATTATGACTTGGATGATAATTAGAATTGGTCATGGAAGTCTTTTGACTTGTTATTTTGAACCTTATTAGCTTGTGCACAATTATGTAACTACACTTTGCAACATATGGTGAATGGATAAATTTTTTTTTATATGATTATAATTTAAGCAGGTGAAAAACGGTTAAAAACCGTTGTCTATTTTACAATAGACAACAGTTAGAAACCGTTGACTTTTCTACAAAAGACAACAGTTTATGGGTGTGACAAAAGCGATTTCAACAACACACAATAGACAATAGTTTATAACTGTTGTCTTTTAAAGAAAAGACAACAGTTAAAAACCGTTGTCTATGTACGTGACTTTTAACAACACTGGTTTCAACAACGCTTAATAGACAACGGTTAAAAAATCGTTGTCGTTGGTAGAAAAGACAACGGTTAATAACCGTTGTCTATGTGAGTGACTTTTAACAACACCGGTTTCAACAACACTTAATAGACAACGGTTAAAAAACCGTTGTTGTTAGTAGAAAAGACAACGGTTAATAATCGTTGTCTATGTGCGTGACTTTTAACAACACCGGTTTCAACAACACTTAATAGACAACGGTTAAAAAACCGTTGTCGTTGGTAGAAAAGACAACGGTTAATAACCGTTGTCTATGTGCGTGACTTTTAACAACACCGGTTTCAACAACACTTAATAGACAACGGTTAAAAAACTGTTGTCGTTTATAGAAAAGACAACGGTTAATAACCGTTGTCTATGTGCGTTACTTTTAACAACACCGGTTTCAACAACACTTAATAGACAACGGTTGAAAAACCGTTGTCGTTTCTAGAAAAGACAACGGTTATTAACCGTTGTCTATGTGCGTGACTTACAACAACACCGGTTTCAACAACACTTAATAGACAACGGTTAAAAAACCGTTGTTGTTTCTAGAAAAGACAACGGTTAAAAAACCGTTGTCTATGCGCGGGACTTACAACAACACCGGCTTCAACAACAGAAATTATATCCCTACGACAACGGTTATTAACCGTTGTCTATGTGCATTTTTCTTGTAGTGAAACACACCTATTCCGCAGGAGCGTAACTACCACAAATGCAGAGATATAATATGTCAGCCACATATATCCTTAACACGCCCCCGCAAGATTGAGGATCCGTCGGAGACTCCAATCTTGGAATGGAATAGAAGAAATAAAGAACGGCCCAACGACTTCGTGAGGAAGTCACCGAGCTGAGCCGACGAAGGAATGTGCCACACCACCAGTGAACCATTAGAGACTAAGTCATGAATAAAGAAATAATCCAGCGCCAGATGCTTCATACGTGAATGGAATACCGAATTTTTACACACATACGTCGCACTAAAGTTGTCACAGAACACAACCAGGGGTTTCACCAGTTGCACCCGTAGCTCTTGTAGCAAATTCTTTATCCAAAAGACTTCTGTAGCAGCATTCGTCAAGGCTCGATATTTAGATTCTGTTGATGAGCGTCACATGGACTTCTGGCGGGTAGACTTCCAAGAAACGAGATTAGCACCAAGATACAATAAGTACGCGGTGGTGGAAAGATCATCGGTGGTGCAACCGCCCCAATCTGCATCTGTATAAACACTCAGCGACAGTGGTTTCCCAGTGCGGAGGAACAGCCCATGACAAACCGTTTGTGACACCCCAAAAAATTATCCCTTAAACGGACTTAATTATTTAATTAATTCTAAACTTTCTTTGCAAAATTCCTTCCTAATTCTTTGTTTAAATAGTCGGAGGACCTAAATTGACCAAATTCCTTGGTCAATGAATTGTACATTGTGCCTTACGCCTTGTACATAGCCTTAATTTCTTCCTAACAATTTTGTAGATAAGGGAGGCTATTTTAGTATTTTCACAACCCTTACTTGATATCCAAGATATTTTCCCTAACATAGCACTATTGTCTTCCCACACTAGGCAAGGACTTCATTTCTCCACCTCCTCTCTAAAAATCCTAACTTCTTCCCCAAGCTAAACCAAAACCTCTCCCTAATCTTGCCAAGAACCCTTCAAGATTTCAACTTTCATCAACCAAGACCTTAGGAAGGGTAAGGCTTAAGCTTAGCTAGTGTTTTAATTGGTTTATCCTTATCTTTATCTAAGTTTTGGTTGTTTGTGTGGTTTTTGGTTTGTATTTGGAAGACCTTGTGGAAGAAGAGTTCCAAGAAGAGGATTAGAGGTTGAAGGAAGTGTTTCTAGGCTTAAGGATGTAACCCATGCTCTACAAAACCTATTTTACATCGCTATTGATGATTTCTTGACGATCTATTGATGTTCTTGTTGCTCATGAGTGAAATGATGCATATTCTTGGGTTTATGCATGTTAGAGCTTGTATCTAGGGTTCATAAATGCTATTCTTTGAGCTATTCTTGTTGTTCAAGTTCCTTTGTTGTTGTATGTGAGATTTTGGATGTTTTGGACTTGAACTTGGAATTGGTTGCATTTTTCCCCGAAGGGAATATTTCCTCCCAGGTATTGGACCCGCAGGCATAACAGCGGGCGGTGAGCCTACCGCCGTTCCACTCGCGGGGAACATAATGACGGGTGGCGGGGGAAGCCACGGGTGGTTGCCTACCCGTGATTCCACCCGCTGGTACAGGCGGGTAGGGGTGGCGGGAGGTTGTCCACCCACTAGTACGTGATGTTTTGGCCTCTGTTTTGTTGAACCGTTGTGCAATTGTTTGTCTCATTTGATGTTTCGTACATCTAAAATGATGTCCTAAGTAATCATGATAGGATTATGAGTCTTGAATCATGTTTAAAGGTCCAACTTTGTGATTCGTTGGATTAATGTGAAGTCATTGATGTTCGTTTGATCCGTTATGATTATCCTATTGATTTGCATGCTAGTTACGATGTTGTTGGTACTAGTATGTGTATGTTCATTCGTTCTCAATGAAGATTGGTAACTTGTATTCACCAATCATTGTAATCTTTGGATTGAAGCCTATCGTTATTGTGACATTGTATTGAATGTTCCTTTCATGTCTCTCTTTGAAGTCTTTTGATTGAATATCTTGTTGTGGTCTTGTACATATGTTGTACTCTATTGTTGATTTCTTGATTGGGTTATTGATGAGCCTCAATCCTCTATGTCAATAACTGTGTGTTATGATTAAAAGCTGGCGGATATGAGCTGCGTGCTCAAAATGATTGGCGGGATACTATCACATGATACATATTATTATATTATTATGACATTGCGATGTTTATGAAAAGCTGGCGGAAAAGCAGGAGGGGAGCAATGGCTCCGGAGGGATAAGGTTGGTGGAGTACAGGGTGGCCTGGAGGTACAGGTTGGAACTGTTATAAGGATGGAGTGGTGTAAGGTTGGAACATGCCATAAGGTTGGAAATGTTCATTGGTTGCGATCTTTGACTTTCATTTGCTATGAGCATGTATTGATGTTATCCTTCATGTTATGATGTTACCTTGATTGATATTGATGATCATATGTTGTTGATGATTCCGTTGTTCTTAACGTTGTATTGACCTCTTGATTTATCGTATGATGGTCGGTTGATTGAGAGTGTTCTATGATGAGTTATACGTTGTCTCTACTCCTTGTTTTAAAGCTAGAGTTGTTAAGTTATATCTATGTATTCCAAGTCCCAAATGATTTTTGCTAACGGGTGCTACCCCCTTATGTTTTACAGGTACAGAGTAGACCGTTGTGAGCGCGCTAGATGAAGACGTAGTTAGCGTAGCTCTCTCTTTATCCTTTAGTTTAGACTTGTGGCCTGTGAGCCTTAAACTTGTGAATTGTTGAATTATTGTTGGATTTCTTATATTTAGTACTTGGTTTCTAGCCTGTGCATCTATAGATTAGATAGATGTAGCATAGCCCTTCCCGATTGACTTTTAACTTCTGCAACTTTTAATGCTTAATGTTTAGTTTTATCTCTATCGTTAGGCTTTAATTACCTTTGTTATTGCCTAAAATCGAGGGTGTTACACCGTTCCCTTTAGA